ACATGGTGAGAACAATGGATGGCGGCCATTTTAACTCACAGACACTGTTTTGACTTTTCTACACGGTGCCATCTCGCCGGTATTTGGTGCACAAAGACATTGTTCAGTAGTTTTAAACTACAGAACAGGGGACACATTTAACAGTAATTATTTTTCATATAGCCTGTATATGTTATGCGGAATCTGCATTAAACCGTATCTTCCAAACTACTGAACGGATCCCCCGGTTCCGAGGATATATTCTTTATGGGGTTATTGCACGTTTTGGGGTCCCTGTGATATGTTTTATAATACTGTATTTTCCTGCCAGTGATAATTAGGTTAGTCTATTGTGTTGAGATAATTGTATCACAGGCAGAGGGGAGGATTTATGATGTAATGAATGGGAGTGTTAGCTGTGTTGTAATGTGTTGATTGGTTGTTCTTCAAAACCCTGTGGGCAGTACTTTGTTTGTAAAATGTGAATAAAAGAGGCTGTATGTGCCAGTACAGACAGATCTTCTTGACCCTCAACACGTAGTCTTGTCTCGTGATTGGAGGGGACAGCTATATTCACACTGGGGATTGCTATGCTCTGCACACTCCCTTGAGCTTTAATCACTTAGCTCTTTTAAGAGCTTGTTCCTGATACGCTCTCCTGGAGGAGAGGTCTTCCCCACACGGTCCTGGAGGACAGAAGCTGATCTAGGGTGGACAGAAGACGGCGAGACTCCAGTTAAGCTATGGCGATTGTGGTGTCCGGTGCGGTGCTTGTGGTCCTCGGCGCAAGCTAGGAAGCATCCATTAACGGAACGTTCCGTTACGGGAAGTATTTATGAAATTAAAAAAAAAGATGGACAAACATCTTTACAGAGTAACTAGTGTAGCTTAGTGTAATTGTGGGTGAGGAGATGAAAGGTTAGAACTAATATTATCTATATATGCAATCCTCATGAATCTTGCATACAGTATGGCTGATAGAGGTTTCAAACTTGCAGATCTGATAAAATGTGTTGAGATCTGCAGCAAAATAAACTTTTTATATGTGTTTCAAAACATGAATGTCATAAATGCACTGTGTATAAATAATCATACAGTAAGTATAATCAAGAAAAAGATCAAAGTTAAAGGAGAGTTTAAACAGTTATTTTTGTACCCATTTTATGACTTTTCATGTTTATAAAAATTTTGTAAATACTATCCGTAAGGCTCCACAACTGCAATCACTGGAAAAAAAAACTGAAAAACAACAGAACTGTTTTTAGCAATGAATCAGTGGCATTTCCTTATGCATAGTTTCTCTGTGCCCTTTTAATGTTTTCAAATAAGAAATACAAGAATTTAAACAGTGTTTGGATAGGAAGGTGCCAGCATTTTATTGTGCTTTCATGTTTAAAGCGGACAGTAATGCAAGAAAGTGGGAAAGACAATCCCAATGCTGTAGTTTATCAGGGTCATTCAGTAAAGTATGGTCAGGAATTGAATTTAAAATATTAAGGCAAAATAACCAAAATGGTAATCTTCACATCAGTTATGTTTTCAGTTTGGTTATTTTTGATTAAAGGATCACTATAGTCAAAATCTAAAAGCAAGAAAGACAGGTCCCCATGCCTTATTCCTTGCTTTTATATTAGTTTCCCATTAAAAAAATAAATAAATATGATTTTTTTTTTTTTGATATAAACTTACCTCCGTTCCAGCGCCGAGCTCCTCGGCAGGCCAAAATGACGAAATAGCAGGGCTCAATCAGACGCTTCTTGGAGAAGCGTCATCGCTCTGTGGTGCACATGCGTGACTTCACACTGTCCCAATCGCGTTCTTCATTGAGCGGCATTGAATGCTGCTCTATGAATGAACCGAGTGCTTTACCGCGCATGTGCTTGGTATGCTTGCTATGCGCATTCGCGAGCTGAGCCGACTGACAGCTCAGCTCGCTGTCTATGCCCACCCCCCCCCTACGGCAGCCCTCCTAAGCCAACAATTTGCATGCAAACACTAAATATAGAGATATCTCTATATATAGTGTTTGTATAAAACCACACAAACTGAAAATAAATATTGTTAAATATATACAAACACACACTATCTATTTCTATACATCCATCTACTTCTATCTGTCCATCTATTTATTTCTATCTACTTCTATCCATCTATTTCTATTTATCTATATCTAGCTTTTTCTATCTAGTTCTATCTGACTCACAATCACTCACGCTCTCACTTTTTTTGTCACTCACTTTTACTCTCACTCACTTCCTCTCATGTTTACTCACTCTCACTCTCTCACACTGTCTCACTTTTTCTCACTCACACACTCATTCTCGCTCACTCACTTTTACTCCCTCTCTTCTGCTCACTCACTTTTACTCTCTCTCTTACATTTACTAACTCTCACGCACACTTTTACTCACTCATCTCACTCACACACTCTCACTCTCATTATTATTATTTTATTTTGTCTATAGTGCCAGCAAAATTCCATAGCGCTGTACTTTCACTCACACACTTTTTAAACAAGTGTACTTACTGTATGAAATCAGTTCTCAGAAAATACAGTGTTTACATGAGAAAGGCTGCAGGGAGTTATTGTACTCACCTGATCAACCCCATTAAGCTGAAGTTGTTCATGTGACTATAGTGTCCCTTTAAAAATCACCTTGAACTCAACCTTTTTCCTCCACATGAAACAAAAAAATTCTATTGGAAAACGAACATTCTGGAAAAACAAACAAGCAAAAACAAAACATAAAAAAACACATACATTTTCCTCACTGCAACTTCAAGGTTGTGTTGCTTTTTTCTCACTTTTCTAACTATATACATTCAGATATTTGTTGATTTTATGTAATTCTATCCCTTAATACATCATAAAAAACATGCAAGATTCTAAATCTTACAGGACAGAAAAGTAGCAAGTGCAATCTAGTACTTTAAAGTTGGGTATCAGCAGGTTGTCCTCCTGTAAATCTAGTTAAGTCTTACTAGATCCACTCTAAATGGCCGAGATAATAATTATTATTATTGGTATTTATATAGCGCCAACTAATTCCGCAGCGCTTTACAATATTATGAAGGGGGGGGAGAGTTCACAACAAATGAGACAATTACACAGTGATACAGGAACAATAGGTAGATGAGGGCCCTTCTCAAATGAGCTTGCAGTCTAGAGGAGGTGGGGTACAAACACACAATAGGGCAGCAAGGGTGACAGCCACCAAACAAGGTGGAAACTTAGAGCAGGAGGTGTGTCTTTAGAGGTCTTCATTTCTTTATATAATTTTATAATTAACATTTCCTGCAGCGTTTTGCATAGTTTGGCATTTTAAACTCGCCCCCTAAAACAAAAAAGAACAAACGGTGATCATAGTTGGAGTGAGCAGGAAGAGCTGAACACAGATTGTTTTTTTTTTTTTTTTTTTATTATTATTTTTTTTTGCAGCATTGAGAGTGTGTGACACTACTTTCAAATTAGGCCTTTTATGCTCGTATTTTTTCAAGCATAAATAAAAGGGTTGTTCCAACACTACACCAAAGAATAGAATGTAATACTTTTTTCTTTCAGGGTTCAGAATTTCCACTTGCCCTCTATCCACTGACAATGAATATTTAATCCCTTAAGGACCAAACTTCTGGAATAAAAGGGAATCATAAAATGTCACACGTTATGTGTCCTTAAGGGGTTAAAGAACCACTATGCCAGAAAAACAAACTCGCGCATTCAGTCAGTCCATAGGAAAGCATTTTCAATGCTTTCTTATGGACGCTGCCGTCTTCTCACTATGAAAATCACAGTGAGAAGCGCGGAAGCGCCTCTAGCGGCCGTCAATGAGACAGCCACGAGAGGCTGGATTAACCCATTTGTAAACATAGCAGTTTCTCTGAAACTGCTATGTTTACAGCAGGCAGGGTTAATCCTAGAGGGACCTGCCACCCAGACCACTTCATTGAGCTGAAGTGGTCTGGGTGCCTATAGTGGTCCTTTAATGCAATCTGAGGCGCTTTCCCTTTCAGAAAGTCTTTATAAAGGTAATAATACCACAAAGTTCTTATAAAAATGTGCTGCTATCCTCTGATCCTCTCACACAACCTCGCAGTCAGCACACTTAATTTCAACACATAAAAACAAAGCCCTGACAAGGCATGTTTAGTAGTCTAGGAGTTGTAATTTTGAGCCCTGCTCTATACAATAACTGATTTAAAAGGGACACTTTATTATCTAAATATTTATTTTTTTAGTATTCCATCTAAACATCTTTTTTTTAGTTCCTATATATTTAAGAAATCCTTAGACTACTTTTCCCACTCCCCTATTGACCCAATGCTCGCTATTTTGCAACTGTTGCTTTTCACAAATGCCTGACAGAAAAGCACACAATTCTGCAGCACAATGGATGCAAAATCCAAACTATAGGGTCAGATAACGGACAATCTAATGGATTGTGCATAAAGACAGCCATCAGAAAGGTACACATAGTAATTTCTTTAAAATTGTCAATATACGTAATATAAAAAACACAGGATTGCATGTTAAAAACTTGTATTAAAATATATATAAAAATGATGATAGTTCATTTAAGAAAGAATAAGTCATGGTGAAATAAATTGTAACAATGGTGACCCCTAGTGGATTAAAATTAGACATGTTTAAATAATAGGTATTGACCAAGGACTGATCAACGCTTGCATAAATTCCTACTTTACACAGTAACCACTTCACGCTGGCACTTGTGTATATATGATTGCCAGGGTATGCAGTTATACCTTGGAGTTGTATATACATGATTGCAATTAAATTAGTGGCACCATGACAGCGTGAGCATCCAAGTGGTAAGAGAGACTACCTCTCTGTACGCTGTGTTCCTCTGTGCCTAGGCCACAGTATTCTGAAGGTGGGTAGGGGAAAAGAGTGCTTCAATTTCTTCTCCTTTCACTTTACATAATGCATGTGCTGGGAAACTGATGGCAGCAGCTCTCACAGCATACTAAAATCACTACACCGCCAGAGAAAATGTTGGGGGAGGGGTGTGTGTGTGTGTGTGTATATATATATATATATATATATATATATATATATACACACACACACACACACACACACACACAGGCATTTCTTGCTTTATGAACTTTTTTCCGCCATTTTGTTTCAGTGGTCTACGGATCAGGACCAAGGAGAGTGCTTTGGAGCACAAACGATAAGAATTATTTGTGGTCAGGAATAGACAAGAAGAGAAATGAGGATCAGGAACACAGTTCCTGAAGATAAAGGGAAGACTAAAAAAACAGGTTTCAATTGTACTGTATTTTTTTTTGTGCTTTCATGGGCATACATTACAGATCCTGTAATATTATTGCACTGTGTGCTATTGAGTATAGATAGGAGTTGATTTGTTTGTGTGTCTGACATAGCGGTCAATGTGTTAGTGTGTTTGCCATTGTGCCATGTTTTGGCAGGCAGCAATAGTAAGGAGCAGGAGGAGGGCTGAAAAGGGGGAGAAGGAAGAAAGTTTGAGAGCTGCACGCTTCAAAGTAAGAGAGGAAGAGGAGGAGAGTTTGAGAGCTGATAAAATAAAAGGAGTAATGAAGTAAATGAATGAGGGCTTACTAGAGGTGCCCCCATTCAACAAGTGCCACATGTCTCTTCATTGAATAGCACGAGGATTGATGATAATTTGATGATTTCAATATGGTATGTATGCCTTTAATGTTCCTACAACATACATGTATTTGCTATGCTTTCATTTTGTATTTGTACTTCATTTAGGTTTTCAGTGGTAAAATGTATTGGTCAGGAACAGACCCTGTGTCTATGGAAAATTAGTTCTCACTTTATGAACTAGGTTTCAGAACCAATTAATTTGTAAAGTCAGGAACTACCTGTACACACATATATACATGTCTGACACTGTATCTGTGTCTACCTGAAACGTGGGCAGTCACTCCTCAGTGCATGAGCTAAAAGCCACATGCTCAAGACTGAGCTTGAGGAGAAAGACAAGCTGCAGGTACAGTGCAGGTTGAAGAAGGCTTCCAGGTAGCTGCTAGTAAGAGAACCAGTGTGATTAAATGGGAGTGTGCAATAAGTGACCACGGGTCAATGAGGCTGTGTGCATGTTTAATTAGAAGTCTTTTTTCCTGGATGGGTGGGAGAATAAGTTTTATTAAAAAATATATATATTAATGACTTCAGAGTGTTATGCATATGCATGAATGCAGAATATATGTGCCCTGTGTTAAAGAACTGTCACCTCCAAAGAAATGACAATAACTCAAAATTTCACACCACTTTAGGTAAGGTGAATTAACACCGAGAAGGGGGGCACTAAAAAAAAAAAAAAAAAAAACCTGCTGCACTACCATGATGTTGCAATTCAATTGCCGCAGGGGTGCATGTGTGCTCGGGCATGTAACAGAGATGCAGTAAATGCACATAGTATTATGTTTAGGATATAAATACAGCGCCAGATTGCTGAACAGTACAGTTTTTATCTAGGGCTGCACCATTCCTATCTAACACCCTTCCCTTCTCCATTAGATGCTCACTCAGTCTCCACTCCTTAAAGGACCACTATAGGCACCCAGACCACTTCAGCTTAATGAAATGGTCTGGGTGCCAGGTCCATCTAGGGTTAACCCTTTATGTTTACCTATGGGTTAATCCAGACTCTAGTGGCTGTCTCATTGACAGCAGCTAGAGGGCTTCCGCGCTTCTCACTGATTTTCACAGTGAGAAGATGCCAGCGTCCATAGAAAAGCATTGATAATGCTTTCCTATGGACTGGCTGAATGCGGGCGCAGCTCTTTCCGCGCATGTGCATTCAGCCAGTGACGGAAGAGCTCCCTGCCCGGCGCTGGAGAAAGAGGTAAGTTTAACCCCTTCCACACCCTACAGCCCGAGGGTGGGGGCACTATAGCATACATACATACATACATACATACATACCACAGTGAATACTACTCTACCAATCTACTTTTCTAATACCAATCCTTACTGTTTGCATCACTTTACCCTACTCCCTCAAGTATGTAAGCTCATTGAGCAGGGCCCTCAACCCCCCTGTGCATCCAACTTGTCAGGCTACAATTACATGTTTGTTAGTCCACCCATTGTAAAGCACTACGTTATTTGTTGGAGCTATAAAAATAACTAAAATAGTTGCAACAAGATAAGTTGAATGAACAGAAGGTGCGGAGGGCCCTACTCAAATTAATTTACATTCATAACATCATAGAGAAAAATGGAGTAAAATGACACAAGGTATAGTGTAAGAGATAGATCTATCAATAGTGAAAGGAGGTCTGCACTCCCAGCATTAAAGGACCACTATACACACCCAGACCACTTCAGCTCAATTAAATGGTCTGGGTGCAAGGTCCCTCCCCTGCAGTTGTAAAGAGAAAATGCCTAGGTTTACACACTAGGGTTAATCCAGCCTCTAGTGGCGCTTCTCACTGAAAAATCAGTGAGAAGACGCTGGACGTCCATAGGAAAGTTGAGAAAAAAAAAATAAAAAAAAATTGCGAAATTCTTTCCTATGAGTGGTTTGAATGCGCGTGACTCTTGCCGCGCATGCGGCGCTGGCGTCGGCAGGAGAGTTTGCCAGCACAGAGGGAGCCTGGCGCTGGAGAAAGGCAAGTGTTTTAACCCCTTCTGCCCAGCGAGAGTGGGAAACTGAGGGTGGGGGAGGGACCTAAAGACCCTATAGTGCCAGGAAAACAAATTTGTTTGCCTGGCACTATAGTGGTCCTTTAAAGTATCAAAAAGCTTTTATTCCATCAAAGTAGAAGTATCCAAAACTCCATTACTGCTTCGATATATCAAAGTGTGTCAACATTGCAGTTCCAGCTCAGGACTTTCCTCAGAACAAAGTTTGATGGAATAAAAGCTTACTGATTCTTTAATGCTGTGAGTGCAGAGCTCCTTTCACTGTTATGTTATATTGCCTCACTGGCATCAGACGACTGAATTGCTTTGAAAGAAAACTGGGCAAGTGTGGAAAGTCGACAGACAGACACACACACACACACTATTGTAATGAGCACGCCTCAGGGTTATTTGCCAAGCTCTGAATGGCAGTGAACAAAATTCCAAATGGCATACTGTAGGTCAAAATTAGAAACACAGATAAATAAATAAAACCATACTCCAACACAAAAGAACAGTACAAAACACTTTATTTTTTTAAAATTTATAGAAATAGACATTTACAAAAGTGTCAATCTGAAAGGCAGTAAAATGTTGCTTGTCCCACCATCTATACATAAATAAAATCTACTTCTAAGGTTTGTAATTGTTTATATTTAATATACAAACCAATGCCACAGATCCATGAAAAGCTAACCGGCAGAAAGTAATTGCAAGTGCTTACTAAAGTTTTCTACTGTAGATTAATCTGAAAATTCACACATTAAGCAGCAGATGCAGAACCTTCCTTTGAAAAAAGGAAAACTCCCTTTTACAGCCTTTTACTAGTCTTTACAGCCATTAAAACCTTTAGGAGATAGACGCACTTAAAAGATCACTTAAATATTTTGTACTTCCAGCCAAGTTACCTAAAAAAACCATAGTTCAGAAAAGTTTGACCTTAATTAGTACATATATAGTATTGAAAGTTTGCATTTAGAGCTTTTAGAGTGTGTGTCTGTGGAGGGGAAGGGGGGAGGAGAATTGTACAGTAAATAAAGCAGTGGGTTTGTGATTTCAATATGCACTGCATACAAACTATAACAAACTTGCCATGATTTACTTGTATATGGTGCAGCAAATGACTATTGGAAAACAGATCTCTTTAGCCAGAGAAAGGTTAAGATCACATTGTATAGATTCACAGTGTGAAAATGAAAGCAACAGTTTAGAAAGCTTGCATTGAGGCAACAGGGAGATGTACAGACTGAAAATAAGAAATTGTAAGGAGGAAAACACAAAACAAAACACTTATAGCAGATAGTAATCTTGGGGTTGCACTGTTACTCATGATGGATTTCCAGTTGGCTTCACCTCCAAGTTGCACTTCTAAATAAAATAGAGAAGGCAGCAATACATTTGATGGTTTAGATCAAATAATTGAATGTGTAGTAGCCTAGCACAGGTAGCAACAGGAGAGCTTACTTTGTGGTGTGCAGTTATTCTGCTCTAAAAGGCTTTATGTTTTTGGATCACACAACCTTTTGGATAGGCACATACCGCCTAAAGATCTCTTAGTAGCTGCACTTCTACCTGTGTTTGAAATATTTCATAAACTTAGAAAATAGACTAGCCTTACATATCCAACACGAAAATGCCTGCTAGTCTGCAATAAGCATTTCCAAAAGACTACAGATAGCAGCTGCATTTAAAAAGGATAGGAGAACATCCAGAGGTTTTCTGTACAGAAGAGACGAAGTAGTTTTAAGAGTCTATCTTTTTGTATGCCACCATACTGTTGACTTTGTGAATAGTAGTTGTGAATGAACGAAGCCGGACCTCTTCAGAATTGGAAACAAACTGGGGTCCAGACTCTTCCCACTTTTCTGGCACTTCTAGGTCCTTGTCTGTATAAATCAGCAAGTCAAATGCACCTATATTTTGAAAGAATTTCATTTTAGTAGAATATATCTGAAAGGTCCTTTAATCATTCAAGCTAGCATAGTCACTTTTAGGTGAAAATCTTGAGAAACCATAACTGCAACAATGACCAGGCATGGAGAAAATATATTCCACTCAGAGAACACCAAGCTTGAATGACTGGTGGAAACATGTATCTGAAAGATTATATGTATTTAGAGTATGTACTTAGGAGCTGATCTGCTAGCATCACTCCAGACAATAGCCAATCACTAACACGGTCTTCATATTATTTGCTCTTTATCCTTAACACAGGTTTGAAATGCTAAACAGGTAAGAGGACAGTGATTGGCAGTGGGGGCAGAAGGAAATCAGCAGCTCAGCTCACACCGATCCTGCATTGGCTGAGCATGTATTTAGAATACATAAATTTAGTTTGTGAAGAAATTGTGAATAAAAGGTAGAGGACTATTTTTTTTTTATGCAAAGCTAAAGAGATTTGAACAGGGAGAAATACACAGCATGAGTATGAGGCCAAAATCCAAATTAATTGCACTTAAAGGAACACTGTAGCACTATAACCATTTCAGCTCACTCGGTTATAGTGCCTGCAGTGAGCCTTTATTTACGGTGGTGTGCGGAGTGTTTTTATAACTACCAGTACTAAGCTGCATGCATAGGAATGGCATTTTTCCTTAAGATGCCTCACCACACACATCTATGCATGCCTGAAGCATAATATAGCTGCAAAGTGGCTAAACACAAAGGAAAATTAGTTTACTTACCCCTTATGCATTATTCATCCCCAGTAAACGAATTGCATTTACAGGGGGGAGAAGGAACAAGCAACTGTCACTTCTCTTGAACAGACAGCACCGTTAAACATTGTGACCTATGTATCATCTTAACCAGTTCAACCTTTTAACAACAATGTGCAAAAAAACAAGATTGATATGATTTGGGTGTGTGTGAATGCTTCTTCTGCAGGTCTGGTATTGTTGCTTCTCTATGGTCTAGTATCTGGTCAGGCATGGGTTAACAGCAAGGGCTGCAGTGTCTGATCTTCTCCTGTGCAGATTCCTTTTCACAAATGCTCAGATCACTTCCTCCAAGAAGTGCAATGAGTAAATTAAATTAAGAACTGATTCGCACACTTTCTGCAATAATCACAAGAGCTGAATGTTCAGTTGGCACTAAACGTTATCTGAAGAAGTCCCATTAGGACTTGTATGCCAGCTCCAGTGAACACCCTCAGATCTCCCTAGCCTATTTGTATCTGGCAGACTTGAGTGCCAATAGGTTGACAACTCCTGATCCAGATGTTGGTTGCTTTCTATTTAGACTTCACTACTTCATCCATGACAATACAGAAACAATATTTTAAAGTGGGGGAGGGGAACCTTATTAATGTAAAGTGACGTCTAAACATCCAGGGTTACAAAATAATTATTTTATATTTGTAACACTAATGCTTCTTGGGAGTACATATTCATTAGTTTGCTATTATGGTTGTTTACTTCTGCTACAAATACTAGGCGAATCAGCAGAGTTGTATGTGTGAGTAGGCAGACAACGTTACCTGTAGTTTGAGAAAATACACACAACCACTCCATGAGTAAGGTCTACTGAAGCATGCCAAACTTGCGGCCCACCTGCCCTGGGGCCACTTTGTGTTGTGGCTGCAACCAGCTGCAAGACAAAAAAGATATTTGTTTGATTCTTGTCTTCCCTCCCATGGCTGCTCGCCTGCTCCTGCAGGCCAGCCACTCTCCCTTCCCTCCTGCTCATAGTACCAGAGCGGCGTCTGGCCTGCTTGAGCAGAGAAGACCAGGGCTGGACCTGGGGTACAGGCAGCTCATCTTAAAGGTAGGGGAAGAGGGTCTTGGGGGACCTTCCTATGTTGTGTATTCATTTTAGGGAGGGGGCCAGTGTATTAAGAGTGGTGGAAGAGGGGGGGCGGGGGCGCAATGTATTCAATTAAAGTGGAGAGAGGAAGGGCAGTGTATTAGATTGGGTGGAGGAAGCAGTTTATTAGATTTAGGGGTAATGTATTGGATTTGTGGGCAGTGTATTAGATTTGATACTGCATGGAGGCGCTAAACGCTCCCCACAGAGATGCTGATTGGCCATGCAGCTTTTTGCCACACATTATTATTATATTAATAGAGCGCCGTCAAATTCCGCAGCGCTTTACAATGGGTGGACGAATAGACATGTAGTTGTAACCAGACAAGTTGGACGCACAGGAACAGAGGGGTTGAGAGCCCTGCTCAATGAGCTTACATGCTAGAGGGAGTGGGGTAAAATGACACAAAAAGGTAAGGATAGTATTAGACTAGTGACAGTTGCAGAAGAGGAATCAGTCAGGAGCTATTAGTTTAATTGATACGCTTTTATGAAGAAGTGGGTTTTTAAAGATTTTTTGAAGGAGTGGAGACTGGGTGAGCATCTAACGGAGGAGGGAAGCGAGTTCAACAGGAACGGTGCAGCCCTGGAAAAAGTCTTGAAGGCGAGCATAAGAGGTGGGAGTACGGACAGAAGATAGACACAAGTCTTCAGCAGATTGTAAGGGCCTAGACGGGACATACTTGTGTATAAGGGAGGATAGATAGGTGGGAGCAGCATTATGTAGAGATTTAAAGGAAGAACCAGAATTTTAAATTGAGCTCTATATTTTATATGAAGCCAATGTAGGGACTGACAGAAGGGTGAGGCATGGGAGGTGCGGGCGGACAGGAAGATGAGCCTCGCCGCCGCATTCATTATGGACAGTAACGGCGCAAGTTGGGAGCACGTAAGACCACTGAGAAGCGGATTCAAGGCGAGAAAGGACAGTGGAATGGACCAACACCTTAGTTACATCTGGCGTTAAGTAGGGCTGGATGCGGGCAATGTTTTTGAGATGGAAATGACAGGATTTGGCGATAGATTGAACATGAGGCTTGAAGGAGAGGTCGGAGTCAAAGAGAACTTCTAGGCAGCGAGCCTGCGTGGTGGAGCTGATGGTAGCACCGTTGACTTGGAGGGAGACAGACACAGGAGTAACAACATTTGAGGGAGGAAAGACCATAATTTCAGTTTTGGTCAAGTTTAGTTTAAGGAAGTGGGCAGCCATCCAGTTAGAAACAGCAGAGAGGTAGTCAGAGACACTAGTCAAGAGGGACAGGGAGAGATCATGAGAGGACAGGTAGATTTGCGTGTCATCTGCATAGAAAATTATATTGGAAGCCAAAAGGAGCTAATGAGTTTACCAAGGGAGGCAGTATAGATGGAGAACAGTAGTGGACCAAGGACTGAACCTTGGGGGACTCCAACAGAGAGGAGTTGGAGAAGAAGCAGAGCCAGAGAAAGAAACACTGAAAGAGCGCTGGGAGAGGTAGGAGGAGCACCAGGAGAGAGCAATATCTTGTAGACCGATATTGCGGAAGATGAGAAGAAGCTGTTGATGATTAACAGTGTCAAAAGCCGCAGAAAGGTCAAGGAGAATTAGGATAGTGTAGTGACCACGAGATTTTGCAGCGAGTATATCATTGGATACTTTGGTCAGTGCCGTTTCCACAGAGTGCTTAGCGCAGAAACCAGACTGAAGCGGGTCTAGCAGAGAGTTAGACTCGAAGTCTGTCAATCTTGCATACACAATTTTTTCAAGTATCTTGGCTGCAAAAGGCAGTAGCGAGATAGGACGATAGTTGGATCGGGAGTTAGGGTCAAGATTGGGCTTCTTTAGAATTGGGGTTACAGTTGCATGTTTGAAGGGCAATGGAACTATACCAGAGGGGGGAGAGAGATTGAGAATTTTAGTGTGCTTTCCTATGGGAAAGCATTAGATTGGCAGAGATCATCAAGTTTGATGATGATCTCAGCCAAAGTAAAGAACACACTCCTAGTACTTCAAAAAGACAAGATAACATTTGTTTTTAACAGCTGTGCAACAGTATTCATTCACTATTTCAGTCCCATTACTAAACCTTTCTTAATATGTCAAGGTAGTTGGACCGAAACATTGGTTATATGCAAATACATATCTCCTTAAAATAAATTTGCTCTTTTGTTTACTTTGAAGCCCTTCGACTGATGAAGTCCAGTGTCAGTTAAGCAACTTTTTTTATACTGAAAAAAGAAAAAAACCCTACATTTTAAATGAAAAAGTTTGTTTTTTTGCGGCCCACATAAACTTAAACCTGGTTTATTTGGCCCGTGCTAGCCTTTGAGTTGGACATGCTTGGTCTACTGATTTACCTGGGATGCAAAGTGTACAGATTTTATAGTTAATACTGTTGAGTGAATAAGTTTTTTTTTTTTTAGAGCCCACAATGGCAACATTAAAAGTATACTCACAAGCAGTCTCTAGTAATGGAAGGAATGTTACTGTTGCAGTGATCTGTCTGATAACCGACCGGATTTCTTCTTGGATAACTTTTGGTGACTTTTCTCGAACCACACTGAAATAAAAAAAAAAATTGCACGGCATTTTTAGTTGCAAACCATAGAAGACAAACCAAACGGCACAACAAGATAGTAAAAAGGCAAATTAAATACATGTTGCCATTTTTGTTTAGTGTTCAATTACAGACCTCTTGTTATTGCCTAGTGTAATGCAGTCACCAAACACATTACAGACATTTATTTTGCATGTGTTTAGCTTTCCTTTCCTCTTCTAAGAGGTATTTGTACTGTCCTGCATTGGCAAAACGTGGTGCTTTGTTTGCCCTCTCCTTACTTATTCCAGAACTAGACTGGCTAAAAGTAAAAAGAGGTGCACAAGTTTTAAAGGAACACTCCAAGGACCATAACCACTACAGCAAGCTGTATGCCAACCCCCTCCAATGTAAAGAGCCATGCTGGCATTCTCAGCCAGTGAGCGGATTCTGCACTAATGGAAGGTCTTAACTTAAGCTTCCAGCTCTCTAGGGTGGAAGAGGAAATTCATAAAGCAGCACCCAGGTAAGAAATCAAACCATTTCAGGCACCATGACTAATATAGTGTGCTGTAGTTATGGTGCTTGCTGTGTTCCTTTAATACTTCTATCACTAATGTCAAAAACTATTTTTACTAAGATTTTAGTTCCAAGTAATATAAGGAAAACAAAAAGCAGTATATCTACATGATGTACTAGCAAAATAGCTAGGAGATGAATAAATTTTGTTTTAACTCTTAAAGCAGCACGGTCATGCCGAACTTACCTTTAATTCATTCCTCTTTTCTCCCCCTGTCAGGATCTGTTCTTTATTTCTTCCTGTCTGCTCTAGTTCTCTTTAAAACATCAGAAAGTAGGGACCGCTCAGGGGTGGGGCCCGGGGTGGAGGACAATAGGCCTCCCCCCCCAATAGTTATTTAAGTTCCCCTTAAGTTTAATAGCCCCCCACCCCTAGCATGGCATGGGTGGGAGGCATACTTTATATCGCCCCCACCTGTTTAATAGACATGCCCCTACTCCCGGTATAGCGAGTAGGGGCAGAATTTACTACTAAGTAATCTTTACTTAGTAGTAGTAAATTTGGCTGAAAAAACAATTTAGATCTTTCAGCCTTTTGGTAGATAGCTCCCTAAAATCATGGGAATTAGGGAGTTTTCTACTAAGTGGCTGCAAGAATCGGATCGGAGTTTCATTCATTCTAATGAAATTCTGATACGAACAAATCCTAACACGAATGGAGAAACTGTTCTCATTCTGTTAGGATGCAATTTGGTAGCTTTGCCAGCGTTCTGTCTAAATGACAGGACGTTCGGGAAAAGTGAAAGGAGGCTTTGCGGGAACACTGAGGAAAGGTGAGAATTATGGGAAGAATTGCTCTGACCACCGGAAATGAAGCACACTTTGCTCCTCCGCTGGTCAGGTGTAGCAAACCTCCATAAGACAAATAGTCCATACTTTGTGTTATATTTTAAAGAAAACTAGACCAGACAGGAAGAAATGAACAGATCCTGAGAGAGGGAGAAAAGAGGAATCGATTGAAGAAAGGCAAGTTCGAGTGCCGCTTTAATATGTAACCTTATTCCTATGGTATTGAAATAGAGCTATAAATGTTCAACTATACCAGTCGGTGAGAAAAGTGCACAGGTCACGATTCATGCTTAGCATAAGAGACTGCTAGATATGAGCACTATGAAAAGTGAAAGGTGAGAACACAACACAATGAACAAAAATGTAAACAAACATTAAAAATATCTTTGAATCTGCAGAATTCTCAAACAGTTTGGGGCATGACAATGCATAATTAACCCATTTTTAATAAGGCTACTAATGTCACTAATTGGCTAATGGTAGTATTTAAATGGTGTTGGTCACCATTCAAGATGAAAGGGTTTTAGCCCTTAAAAACACATTTAAATAAATAGAGGGTGGTGGTGCAACATCAATTAAAAATTAACTTTTATTTCTTAAGTTAAAAGTTGTTTATTGTTCCCTAGTACTAAAACAATGACTCACAATCAAGAATGTATTTACTCAAACACAGAGCATAAAAAGGAGTATATTAATGGCAATAATACTCAACATAAAACAAACAAGATAAACAAAAAACTAATGTGTATTAGAAATTGTGTGTATCGGAGAAAAATTTTAACGGTTTGTAAAATATCCCAAAAGTTAGTTAGCAATATCTAATTAAGTGCTCAGTGAATCACCAGTTGTCGCTTTAGAAAGAAGCGGTTACCTGGAGATTGGATTCCTGCCAGAGAAATAAGCTTTGTAAAAAAATAAATAAAAAAACCTAAGGTTTTATAGGGATCCCATGAATCTTTACGCATATTGTTTCATCAGTTCAAGGCAGCAGGGAGGTTCAGGTGCCGTTGGTCCCTATTACGGTCTAAGAATTTGCCAAACTACTCGTCCCTACATATTTGACAGCCGGCACTTGTTCCCTCCATGTTGTGAGCCCGAAGTAGCAATACTGAGCAGCTAAAGATTCAAGGCGGATAATTCCCCCTACAACTCTCACCTTATACTAAGGAAGAAAGATTTGGTGTATAAAAATAGGAGATAACCAAAAGAAGTAAAAATTAACTGCTGGACAAGAGGCTGGGATGATTTAAAAAGTTTTGTTAAAGGTTATAGTTAAGTCAGATAGCCTTCCAGGAGCCACATCAGTCTGCACCCAAAGCGCGTTTCACCCGGCAGCTGTTAACGGGATCATCAGTAGCACTTTAAAATCATGCCAGCCTCTGGTTCAGCAGTGATTAGTTAATTTTTACTCCTTTTGGTATCTCCTATTTTTATACACCAAATCTTTCTTCCTCAGTATAAGGTGATGGTTGTAGGGGGAATAATGCCCCTCAAATCTTTAGCTGCTCAACATAGCAACTTCGGGCTCACAACATGGAGGGAACAAGTGCCGGCTGTCATACATAGGGACAAGTACTTCCCCTGCTGCCTTGAACTGATGAAACCATATGCATAAAGATTTATGGGCTCCCCGTACTCTATAAAAACGTAGGATTAGTTTTTTACAAAGCTTATTGCTCTGGCAGAAATCCAAATCACCAGGTAACAGCTTCTATACTAAACTACTCCGCGACATCTGGTGATTCACTGAGCACTTTGTTATTAGATATTGCAACTTTTGGGATATATTAGTTTTTTGTTCTTTGTCTTATGTTTTATGTTGAGTATTATTATTACCATTATAATACCATTATTATTATTATTACCATTACCATTATTATTACCATTATAATACCATTATTATTATTATTACCATTACCATTATTATTACCATTACCATTATTATTACCATTATTACTATTACTATTACTATTATTATTATTATTGCCAGGTCCCCCAGGTTTTAACCCTGCAGGAGTAAACATAGCAGTTTCAGAGAAACTGCTATGTTTACATTGCATGGTTAATCCAGCCTCTAGTGGCTGTCTTCCTGACAGCCGCTAAAGGCGCTTCCTACGCTCAATGCAAAAATTGCATTGAGCACGCAGAACGTCCATAGGAAAGCATTGAGAAATGCTTTCCTATGGGCGTTTTTAATGCACGCGGCTATGGCCCCGCCTGGGCATTTGGCTCCACTCAGGAGCTGACGTCAGAAGAGGAGGAGAGGTCACCAGCACTGAGGGAGCCCGGTGCTAGATAAAGGTAAGTGGCTGAAGGGGGGGCCCTGAGGGTGGGACCGACCTAAGGACTATATAGTGCCAGGAAAACGAGTTTGTTTCCTGACACTATAGTATAAAGTTTATCCTCTGTGCTTGAGTATATACGCTCTTGATTGTGCATCGTTTTAAAATTCCAATACTAGGGAACGATAAATAATTTTTAACTTAATAAAAAGTTATTTAATTGATGTTTCACCACCACCTTCTATTTTCAATAAGACACATGTAGAGCAAAACAAACCTCAGCCGTACACCTATAAAAGCTTGACCACTTTACTTTTTTCCTACAAACCTAAAATTTCATTTGTGCACACGAATCAGTGTACCCTCGAAAATCCATTTTATTTGCAATCACTCACCTGTCATCTTTGAGGGATTTATCACACTCTATGTCAAACTGCCAACGTTCAAGTATCTCATTGGTGTCGATGCTTGTTATCACCACCACAAGTTTCTGTACTTGGCATTTGTATAGCCACTCTGAAATGACATGTACACAGTATAGAACATCAAATTCTCTATTTCTACAGACATGCAGACTTAAAAATAAGCACTATAACTTCACCATAACCACTTAAAGTTATTTTAGCTGTTCTTGTGCAAGGAAGCAGTCGCTGAAATTACCCTTGCCATTTACCTCAATGTCTGGAACTAAAGGAGCCAGCACCCATCACACTCCTGCGAGGATGCCAGTTCATGCAAGCATTGTGGGAAAAACTCTCTGACACAGGAAATGGAGCAGGCTTCAGCTCCTCCTTGTGTCAGAGAATGTCAGGCGTAGAAAAAATAGATAAGATCAAAGTAGTCCCTAACTTTTCTTATGTTTTAAATAAAACTAGAGCAGAAAGAAAGAAAAGAATAACAGATTCTGAGAAAGGAAGAGATTGGGAAAGGGTAAATTTGGTGTGACAGTGCCATTTTAAAAGGAACACTTTAATGTTAGGTATACAAAGAAGCATTCCTATGCCACCTCACGGTAAAGTGTTAAATAAAACTCTTCACTTACTTGATTCCAGCATCAAGTCCCCTCAGTGCTGTGTGGCAGTATGCCTCCTCAGACGTCCTTTGAATGGAGGACCTTATGTGTATGCACAACAAGTGCCATGCGAGCATTGGGCCTTCCCCATTGGAAAGCATTGCCTAAATACTTTCTATGGGATTTAGTTTAATACTGGATGTTCTCATGTCCAGTGTCGTGTCACAGAGTGAAACTGTGAAAATCCAGGAAGCACCTCGAGTGGCGGTCTTCATAACACAATGTAAACATTGCATTTTCTTTAAAACGGCATTGTCTTGCATTACTACGGAGGGCAGGGACAGTGCACCCAAACAACTTCAAATGAGATGAAGTGGGGAGGGGTGAACTAAAGCTTAGTGAACACAGTGTGTGAACAAGTTGATGATACAGAAATAGTAGAAGTTGAATTGATTCGGCATAGAAGAAAAACAAATGTTGCAGGCTATTAAAACAATTAGTAAGCTTATCCAAATATGGAAGGATATAAAAGTATAGACTGGTGTAATATGCAATAAAAAAATATAAATACAAAGCATAATAAAAAAGGTGTTTAAATCTGCTACCAGTTTTTTTTTAAATATGAAAACAATTGACAAGTGTATAGATTAGCAGATTCCACCCCTTGGTGGTATATCTAAAAATAGTTTGCAAATGCTACCTGAGAAGTTTGAAGTATCCCTTCAAAGGGTTATGTTAGGCATCTTAACTATTATAGGGTGCTGTTGTGGTTACAATGTGGAGTGGAGTATCCTGGTGCCATTTCCAACTAATGGTGCATGCATTTTGCCTTTTTATCAGAATCCTGCAAAAAGGTGGATACTGATCCCACCATTCATCGGCTGAAAGCACCTCCTGCAGCCAAGGTGTTAAACTATATATGTTCGCAGAGACTCCAAACACCATGACTACTGGAAGTAATCCTTTAAAATACCACTTAAGGCACACATCACTTATTCTCAATGATTGCAATATGTTGTATATAGACTGAAGTGTTTCCAGTACAATGTCAACACCTCTAATGGCTGTCTTCTAGACAGCCACTAGAGGCATTTCCACCTTGAGAAAAGAGCCAACTCAGCTCTCAAACAAGTGTTGCACATAAAGCAGATTTTGATTACCACAGTGTGCCGTATTGCTACATATGAACACTAACCTCCCAATGATTCCCTAAGAGGAATCATTGTATTGAAATAGTTAATTATACTCCTCACCATAAAACATAACTATCTAATTACCTTTAAGTTGTTCCACCACTTTATTTAAATAGTCTTTCAGATCTGGATCTGTTGATACCAGCAAGGTAAGTCCATATTTCTGCAAACGTGTGAAGGTTTCAGCTGGATAAATACCACGTTGATATAATATACTATTGATGCCACAAACTGAAAGAAAATTAACATAGAAATTAAAGTCATATTGTAGTTTATTGGAGATTAGTGTGAGTACATTAGATTAAAAACATGTGTTCTGCTTTAATTACATAGCTGAAAGACTTCATTGAAGAAAGTAACATTGTGCAAATTTAATTTAGCAGTTTTTTTTTTTTTTTATAAAGTAAATAATGCTGAAGGAGCAGAGAGCAATTTTGATAGAGATAGCCAGACATATACGCTAAATAAACTATGCTGTGAAGTAGAAGAAAGTTACCATAAAGTTATAGTTCATTCTAGGGCCTTGCAAAGAACCCAGAAAGTAACATAGGTATGGCAAGCGCTCAGCAATGTTAAGTACAGGTATGTCTCTTTTTGTCCCAGAAAGTGACAGAACTTCTTCCATGCAGCATCATCACAAACCGTACGTTGATGCAGAACGCGGTTAACACTACTCATTGAAAAGCATTGGCCCAGCAAATTGCAGTGATAGCTACAAAAGTAGTGTAGGTCCTCTACGAAAAGCATCTGACCGGCATGAAGATGATCCACTACATGGACGCATTGGACAAGTAAAAGACTGTCTCAGGGCTCAGTTACAGGTGAAATTAACAGATTTTTGCTTTTTTAAAGTAAAACAAAAACAGACCATTTACAGCAATAGATCTAAATAAAAAAAAATGCTAATATTAAAAATTAGGCATCGCCCAATCTTGATTCTTTACAGCTGATACTGATAATCGGTGAACAGCCAATAGCTGATAAAAACAAAAACAATTTCTACACAAATCTACTGTATACTGAACATGTTTAATTTTTTTTTTTTTTTTTTTTTAAAGTACACATGCCAGTCAGATTTTTTGTTTTCAAGAATTAGTGGTCCTCTCCCTTCCCAGGTGTGCCTCATTTATTCACTTGTAGCATGGCTGAGCACAGTGGACCGCGGTACAGAAGCTTCATTTTCCGGTCCACGGCTAGACAGGAAGTGCTCTCTCAGTCCGGCCGGGTACAGGAAAATGAAGCTTCTGTACCGTGGTCCACTGTGCTCCGCTCAACCACGCTACACTGAATGACTGGTAGGAGCGCTGTGCGTTTCCTTCCTGCCAGTCACTCAATTCTTGAGCCCCAGAGCCAGTGCGCCCTAAGATGGCCGCCTATGCTGCCTTATGAATGCGTTGGGCCACCGCCGCCTCACATTATCGGCAATATCTGTATCAATAGTGGCAGATACGTGCCAAAATCTGGAACATCCAATTATCGGTCTATCCTTATTAAAAATATACACACCCATTTAAGTTACAATGTCCCTTTATAGACACTTAGCAACAGAGTCCACTTTTTTAGGTAGGAAACTACCTTTTAACTGTCAATACATTAATATGGCAAAATGGAAAAACAAAAAACTGAAGCAATCGCCACAGAAACATGTTAACTTTCATACAACACTGCGCTCCAGCGACCGCCAGGCACTGCACGCCAGCCACACAACACTGCACACCAGCCACCGCCAGGGACACAGCACTGCACGCCAGCCACCGCCATGGGCACAGCACGCCAGGGACACAGCACTACATGCCAGCCACACAACACTGCACTGCACACCAGCCACCGCCAGGGACACAGCACTGCACGCCAGCCACCGCCATGGGCACAGCACGCCAGGGACACAGCACTACATGCCAGCCACCGCCATGGACACAGCACGCCAGGGACACAGCACTACATGCCAGCCACCGCCATGGACACAGCACTGTACGCCAGCGCCATGCACGCACAGCACTGCACGCCATGCACGCCAGCCACCGCCAGGGACACAGCACGCCAGCCACCGCCAGGGACACAGCACTGCACGCCAGCCACCGCCATGGGCACAGCACGCCAGGGACACAGCACTGCACGCCAGCCACCGCCATGGGCACTGCACTGCACGCCAGCCACCGCCAGGGACACAGCACGCCAGCCACCGCCAGGGACACAGCACTGCACGCCAGCCACCGCCATGGGCACCGGCCAGGGACACAGCACTGCACACCAGCCACCGCCAGGGACACACAGCACTGCACGCCAGGGACACAGCACTGCACGCCAGCCACCGCCAGGGGACAGCACTGCACGCCAGCCACCGCCATGGGCACTGCACGCCAGGGACACAGCACTACATGCCAGCCACCGCCATGGACACAGCACGCCAGGGACACAGCACTACATGCCAGCCACCGCCATGAACACAGCACTGCACGCCAGGGACACAGCACTGCACGCCAGCCACCGCCAGGGACACAGCACTGCACGCCAGCCACCGCCATGGGCACTGCACGCCAGGGACACAGCACTGCACGCCAGCCACCGCCAGGGGCACAGCACTGCACGCCAGGGGCACAGCACTGCACGCCAGGGGCACAGCACTGATTGAATTCCAGTGATTTCTTACATTACTTTTCCCTCTTTCCCTACAGAAGACAAGTTGCTTAGAGTCCAGCCCCCATTTCAGCCAACACTCATCCGTGATTGGCTAACTGATCAGGAACGACAGTCACATTAGCCAATCACAGAAGACCTACACTTCTCTACCGCTAGTCAAACAGAAGGCACAGCCGTGAATGTCGCACTACAAAGCGGGCGCCAGGCCTCCCAGCAGTGAGGAGCTAACTCTGATCACCATGTGGCATGTTAGTACGGCTAGCGCGGTCGCTCACAGAAAAACTCTGACACGATCTCGGCGCTCCCTTTCAGGGTGATCCCCTCCCGGACGAGCTGGGCAGACGCCATGGACATACTGACGGTCTCCGAGAGCGCGGCGCTAGAGTTCGGCTTTAAAATCAAACCGCCAATCTGAGCCCCTCAGCTCGCGCCTTCCACTTCAAAATGCGTGCTGGGAACGCCCCTTCCTCCAGCGAGCGGACGAACCAGATCAGCTGATCAGGACGTCAGCCGTGATGTCACACGCCTTGACAGTATTCCGCGGCCATTTTAAATCTGGGCAAAACCCCCAAATAAGTCCTATAAAGGGACACAATAGGCACCCAGACCACTTCATCTTATTGATGTGGTCTGGGTGCATTGTCCCTATTGCACTTAGTGCTGCGATGTTAAAGTTCCTGGCACTATAGTATCCTAGTTCAAAATATGTTATCAGCTGACAATAGTTTGTATAATTGTTCATATTGCATAAAATGTAAGCCCCCCATCTGAGATCTTATGTGCATGCGCATAAGTGTTGCAATCGCATTAGTACAACCGAATAGGAATCAATGCTTTCCTAAGGGGTTCAGGCTGACCCTGAATGTTTTCATGACTAGCATGAGGATGTCAGGCGACCAAAAATCGCCTAACGACCCAGAAGCACCTCTAGTGTCTGGTAGACAGTCACTGGAGGTGGAGTTAACCCTGCAATGTTATTTTTGCAGTTTATCATCTTAAATGAGCTGAAGTGTTCTGGGTGCCTATAGTGCCCCTTTAACCCCTTAAGGATCAAAATAAAAGGGAATCATGACATGTCACACATGTCATGTGTCCTTAAGGGGTTAAATAAATAACCATGTACCTTTAGCCAGGCTTCCTCTTTTTACAAAACTTTGCAGGACTAAGAATGCCTCCAGTGGCTGTCTATCAGACAGCCACTAGAGGCACTTCTGGGATTCTAATGGACTCTGAGTCCCTCAAATGATGCTGGACGTCCTCACGCTCTGCATGAGGACATCAAGTGTCAGTGAAAACCCAATTGGGAAGTATTGAGTGCAATGCCTTCCAATGGGGACAGCCTAACTTGCCGCACATGTGCATTAGGTCCATCCATCATATGACATCGGAGGAGGTGGAGTACCAACCCAAAGCCAGGGATATCTGTGCTTGAATTAGGTAACAGACTTAGGAGTTTTTTCACCCCTCATGTGCCGGAGGGAGGAGCTGTGAGTGAGAGGGAGGGTCAGAGGGCATTAGGAATACTGATTTTAGACTCCAAAGAAAAAAGATGTTCCTTCTGGTCTATGATGCTTCATTCCACTTACTCAGGGGTGAAGGTATCCGTGTTCCTTGCTCCATCAGTAGGATGAGAATTTTAGGCTTTATCGCATCTGCTGTGGTTTGATCTATGAGCATGAAGATCCTTTATTTGGTGTAAATCACATCAATTGGTAATCTAAGGTGTTCTTTCGGAAGTACCTTGTGGCTAGTTGTTAAAATAGGCATCAGCCAGATGGTTGAGGGACTGTCTGTGAGTCACACAGGGCTCATCGACTGTGGTCACCAGGTTACCTGGCTATCATGGCTTGGCTGGATCTCTGTCAGGAGCCTTATGTCCACTTTCAGTTCGGCAACATCATTATGGTTGCCTTTGTCAACCACCCCACCAAGAGGTACACATAGTGCTGCTGTCATGAGGGAAATCTCTAAAAGCCTTCTGTGGTCTGGAATGTGAGGCTGACATTGATTCACATTGAATAGACAATCAGTCTTTGACAACATAGAAATTGCATGTGTGATTTATGGTTTTGGTTTCCAGAGGCTTCTTAGATAAAGTTACTCAGACCTTGCTTCTGGCTCTCAAGCCTGTCACCAGTCACAAGGTGTTGCAAACATACTTAACCTCGTGTTATTCCCGTGGGAAATGCTGGATGTCTTTTAAGCTTCCTTGCATTTTGGAATTTGTTTAAGATGATTGAGATAGGGGTTTGGCAGCAAGTTCTTTGAAAGGTTAGATGACAAGTTTTTTTGATGCTCCACCATAAACCTGATTTGAGTCCAGACATCATACATTTTGTGCATGCCCAGTATAGATCAAGCCTGATGCGACTCATGACTGCTCCTTGGAGTCTGAACAAGGTCCTCAAGCTGTATTTTTATTTTAAGCCTACACATTCATTGGATTGGCAATTGTTATCATGAAAAGGGTTGTTTATTCTGAAAATCTCCTCGGCTAATATGATTTCTGAATTTTTTAAGTTTTTCATTAGGATCAGGCAGTCCTGAGGACTGATTACTGCTTTTGCCAAATGTGGTCTTCTCTAATGTTAACCAGAAGATTGTTGTTCCCTCTTCACCTATGAGTAACAAGGAGAGATTGTACTTCAAGGAACACTATAGTCACCTAAATTACTTTAGCTAAATGAAGCAGTTTTAGTGTATAGATCATTCCCCTGCAATTTCACTGCTCAATTCACTGTCATTTAGGAGTTAAATCACGTTGTTTCTGTTTATGCAGCCCTAACCACACCTCCCCTGGCTATGATTGACAGAGCCTGCATGAAAAAAAAACTGGTTTCACTTTCAAACAGATGTAATTTACCTTAAATAATTGTATCTAAATCTCTAAATTGAACTTTAATCACATACAGGAGGCTCTTGCAGGGTCTAGCAAGCTATTAACATAGCAGGGGATAAGAAAATCTTAATTAAACAGAACTTGCAATAAAGAAAGCCTAAATAGGGCTCTCTTTACAGGAAGTGTTTATGGAAGGCTGTGCAAGTCACATGCAGGTAGGTGTGACTAGGGTTCATAAACAAAGGAATTTAACTCCTAAATGGCAGAGGATTGAGCAGTGAGGCTGCAGGGCCATGTTCTATACACCAAAACTGCTTCATTAAGCCAAAGTTGTTCAGGTGACTATAGTGTCCCTTTCAGCTGCACCGCTTGCTATATATATATATATATATATATATTTTTTATAAATTCTTTATTTTTGAAATTTTTCGTTTATGCTGGGGTTAGGGTACAGAAGAAAACTTGGGAGTGGGGTAAGTGTTACAGAGTTCATAGAACTTAGTTATGTTGTTTGTAACATATAGAACATTTTTATAAAATTTCTTCTCTAATTACAGTAGCGATCGTTTGCTTATATAATATTACTCTGTCCATATTATTTGTTGCTGTTCTAGGTCTAAGGGTTGGGGAGGGGTACAGAATAGGAGTGGGAGGGGAGTGGGGTACCCTATCTGGTTTGAGTCTGGTCATCTTCGGTTTCATACAATAGCCGCCTTAACGGTGCTGTGTTATGTCTTAAATGTTCTTGTTGGGTACGGAAGTTAGGGTCTTAGGGGGGTTATTGTGCATTTGCGTTAGCGTACGGCTTCAGTTCTCTTTGTCCTTCCGTCGCTGGTGTCCATTATCGGGGGGGATGGGTGTTCGGGCTTTGGTACAATGGGTCAGTTGTGTGTGTTTTTAAGGTTGTTCTGAGGGTCGGGGGTGTTAAACTAATCGCGGTGGATATTTCATGTGGGGTTCTGGTCTTAACAGTGGGGGCTAAGTGTGGGGGTGTAGTGTGAACTCCTTCCTTGCAGGTGTCCATTGAAATTGGGCCTCTCTGTTTTGGGGATTCTTGTAGCTTGTCTGGGCAGGAAGGGGGTGTTAGGGTTCTGTTCTTGCTTTGTCTGTTGTGTGCTGTATGTTTCCGGGGGGTTATTCCATTTTGTTGTCGGTGGAGTGTGTCTCGTCTATTCATTATCTTGTGGTGCCTGTGTGAGTTTGTGGGAGAAGGTCCAGGGGGAGGAGGCATGGTGAGAGTGGGGTCGAGGGGAGAAGAAGAGAGAGAGAAAAGAGTGGATGGGAAAAGGGGGGGGCAGGTTGGGATGCAGGGGGGGGGCTTTTGGGTAGGAAGGGTTATGATCGATAGAGGTTATAGCATTAGTGCCGCTCTTGTTATCCATGGGTCCCATATCTTGTGGAAAGAGTTAGTCGTGTCGTGAATCAGGGCAGATAGCCTGTCCATTTCTACGGCCTCGTCTATTTTTCGGTGTACTTTGAGTGTGGAGGGGGTGGCGTTGCTGCCCCAGTGTCTGGCTATGGTTCTTCGTGTAGCAAGAGCCACCCAGGCTGTGAGTTTGTTTTGGGCCCTAGTTTGTGTGGTTTTGAGAGGAGCCAGGAGCCAGATCCAGGGGTCTAGTGGGAGGTCGCTGTGGAGAGCCCCGTTTATTGTTTAGGCTATTTCCCTCCATAGTTGGGCAATTCAAGGGCATTACCACCAGAGGTGGAGGTATGTGCCCTGTTCCCCGCATCCTTTCCAGCATCGGTCTGAGGTGGTGAAATGCATTTGTTTCACTCTCAGGGGGGTCTTGTAGGCCTGTTCCTTGTGTGTGACGCAGATAGTGAGTGAAGCTGTGGCTTCCCATATGTCCTTCGAGTCTGAGGGGTCCTCCGGGTGTCCTATGTCTCTTTCCCAAGCCGCGGTATATGAAAGGGCCTCATGGGAGCTGAAGTTGTTGAGAATGCCATAGATGATGGATATCTGTCTCTTTTGTATTGGGGTGTGCATGCACATCCTTTCAAAGGTCGTGGTTGGTGTGGTGGCTGCTTGGTCATTGGGTGGTTGGGAAAGGAAGCTCCTGATTTGCAGGAAGCGAAAATGGTCGAACGGGGTGAGTGGTGTGGTGTTCGGGAGGTCGGAAAAGGGGTTAAGCTGCGGCCCTTTGAAGAAGTGGTAAAATCTGACCAGGTTATTGCCTTCGAACCTTGCAAAGTTTTTGGGGGTCATTCCCGGTTCGAATTGAGTATTGCGCAGTATTGGTGTCAGTGGGGATGGGGAGTTGATTATGTTGTGTTTGCGGGTGACCCGGTCCCATAGTTGAATGGAGTGTGTTAGTGCTGGGGTTGTGGGGGGAGTCTGTGGTCTGTCTTGTTTATGAGTAGGGAGGGGAAGTCCCGTCCGAGTAGATCGTGCTCCAGGTCCACCCAGAGTTTGTGTCCTGCGGGGGCGTGTAGGTTCTGGATTTGTGCTAGCTGGGCCGCCTGGTGGTAGTCCCAAAAGTTGGGGAGGCCTAGTCCCCCCATCTTATGCGGGATGTACAGCGTTGCTCTCTTTATCCTTGCTTTTTTCCCCGCCCATATGAATTTATCAGTACGAGTCTGTAGTGATTTGAAGTCTATTTTGCATATGGGTATGGGTAGGGCCTGAAAGAGTTATAGAAAGCGCCTGAGTAGGTTCATTTTTATTGATGCCAGGTGGCCCAGCCAGGAGATGGAGAGGTGTTGCCAAGTGTCTAGGTCTTGGGTCGCTTTAGTTAGCAGTGGGAGGTAGTTGAGTTGATATGTTAAGTGTAGATATATATATATTTTTTTTATCCTTACTTTTCCTCCTTTTCTTGGCTATATATATAGTTGAGGATTTTAAATAAGGATGCTTAAGAGGATCATGCTGAAGCATTGCATTAGGGCTGTTTTTACCTCCTCCAGCTACGATAGTCTTTATCCCACATGTTACGACTCATTAGATCTTCTTCTCACGACCTGCAAGGAAAGACATTATTCTGTTTTTTTAGCTACATAAAACACTATGAGTAGATAATGTAGTCATCTTAAATGTCCCAAAACAGACGTGTTTCCTCGTCATATCTCATATGTCCCTGTCCTCCACAGTGTTCATTCTGCTCTTCTAACAACCTGTATATTGTCGTTCATCAGCTTTTATCTCCAGCTTTCCCCTCTGTTTCATCCATACACACACACTGCTCAATGCATACAATCAACCAAACACACACTGCCCAATACATACATCCATACATGTATGCAGTGGCGGATCCAGAAGCTAATCTCGGGAGGGGCACTGGCAGATCATTTTAAGAAACAATCCAGGCACAATAACCACTACAGCTCTCTGTAGTGGTTTTGGTGCCAGGAGTTGCTGTGGTGCCCTCCCAGAGTAAGTAGTCAAACCGTTTAAAAAAAGTTTGATAACTTACCCAGGGTCTGCTGGGATAGGGGCTGTAGTGTATATGTGTGTGAGGGTCGCAGTATGTGTATGGAGGGGTAGTGCATTTGTGAGAGGGGTGCAGTATATGTATGGGGTAGCAATTTGTATATTGAGAGCAGTGTGTTTGTGTGTAAAGAGTGCAGTGTGTGTATTGGGAGCAGTGTGTTTGTGTGTGAGGGGTGCTGTGTGTGTATGGGGGCAGTGTGTGTATTGAGGCTGTGTGTTTAAGGGAGGCAGTGTGTGTATTGGGGGCTATGTGTGTAAGGGGGGCTGTGTGTATAAGGGGGACTGTATATTTGTGTGTGGTGCAGTGGGTTATAGTTTGTGTGAGAGGATAGGGGGCCAGACTAAAGATATATTTTTTTAAAATAATTAAATCATTAAATAAATATAGTTAATGTCTCCCCTCCCTTCTTACCTTTGCTGAGGGAGGGGGAGACATTGCTTTCTTTTCATCCCTGGTGGTTCTAGTGGGGGAGTGAACTCTAACCTGCAGCTCAGGCTAGAGTTCACTCTCGCAAGATCGGAGCGCTGCCATAGTAACCGCGGCAACGCTCTGTGCTCGCAAGAAGAGAACCCGGCATAGCTGCAGGTAAGAGCTCCCCCGGGTTCTTTCTCTCTCTCCCTCCCCTGCCAGCCATCCAGCAATGTGCCTGTGGGCCGGGGAGGGAGATCACTGATCTCCCCTCCGGTCCGTTAAGACAAACAACAGGGCTGGTGCTTGGATAGCACTAGCCCTGCATTGCCTGGCAGAGGAGAGCCTCTGCCTCACTATTTTCACCTGGGGGGCCATTGCCCCGTTGCCGCCACCCCCCGGGATCCGCCAATGCATGTACGTTGTCTAATACACACAATCACCCATACACATACACTGCTCATTACATACATCAATACACACATACTGCCTAATGGCTACTTTCATGTACTGGCGCCAGGTTACTCCTGGCAGCATAGCAATTACAACACACTGTAGTGGTTATGGAGCATTACGTATTCCTTTAACCCCTTAAGGACCAAACTTCTGGAATAAAAGGGAATCATGACATGTCACACATGTCATGTGTCCTTAAGGGGTTAATGTTAGCTTTGAGCTTTACTCATTACATCATTTCACATTTATGTATCCTATGTAGCAAAACAATTTGTTATCTATTGCATGGCTGTCACTATGAAGTATTTCATTAATTCCTAAAAGACTTGTCATTAGGGATGTGCACAGGCAAAAGATTTGGTTTGGACGTCCGAAATTCGGCGGTTCGGTAATTCCCTAAGCCTAACCCTACCTCTAACCTTGCCCCTAACCCAACCCTACCCTAACCCAACCCTTATCTCTAACACTACCCCTAACCCTACTAAGGGTTAGGTTAGGGAAGGGTTAGGGTTAGATTTCTGTCATCAGTCCCTTAATTTTCCATCCCTCTCCTGTTTTGCAACTTTTCAGAAATCCAAAGCACTTCGGCACTTCCAAAATTTGGCAATTCGGTTCGGCACTTCAGCAATTCGGACAAGAAACAAATTGCACATGTCTATTTGTCATGAGTATTGTGACCTCTTCAGTGTTTTGAAGTGATTATGAAGTGAGTATGTGCTAGCTGCCAGAGGTGCAGTTCCATCAGCTGTAGGGTTATTAGCCAGCATGAAACAAGAGATCTGGGCTGGCTAATGCTAATCCTGTACATATTCTGTGCACATTTCATACATTGGCTGAGGGTACTCGGTTAATCAGCCGGGTCAGCATGTGTTTCCGTTGCCATCAAGGGAGACTTTGTGCCGAGAAAGAACCAGTTAAATGGTGAATTGTAAAATGATTTGCCCAAGGCTGCATGTACCGTAAGGTTAACAAGGCATTTGTCTTGGGCGGCACCAGGGCCGGTGCTAGGATTTTTGACTACACAGGCGAAGATGCATTTTGACGCCCCCCCCCCCAAAAAATAAATAAACAATGCATCTTCACCTCTGTGTCTCGTAGCCCCCTTTTGAATTTCTTACCCCCATTAGTGTTGCATATCCACTCTCTTGAATGTCTTAACCCTTTGGCCCCTTTGTGCCTTACACCCCCCTTTAGTGTGTCTCCTACAACACCTCTTATGTATTTCTTACTTCCCCGCCAGCCCCTATCTATCTATCTATCTCTCTTTTTCTCCCACATAGACATAGATACAGGCAAAAATGCATACATGCACAAATACACTAACATACAGACACACAACCATACAAGCACACAGACATAATTTTTCAGGCACACAGTCACAAAGATATACAGACACACAGTCATAAAAGGCACACAAACAAACACAGTCATACAATCTACACATACAGGTACATTGTCATACAAACACAGACTTACATTCATACAGACACAGGCACTCACAGAAATACAGACACAGACATAAAGAAACATAGAGATAGGCATACAGAGACATACATACACAGACAAACAAAGAACCCTGCACACTGATACCGTGTAAATGCTCCGGCCATCAACAGTGGTGGATGCTCCGTGTCAGACGGACATCACTGGATCCACCAGTAAAGTCTTCAAAAGGAATAAACGCAGGCAACACTCCAATAGTAAGGATGGTATATTTATTGGTAGGTGAACCACCCCATAGAAAGTGTGATGTTTCAGCTCATGCAATAAGGCTCTGCTGAGCCGAAACGACGCACTTTCTTTGGGGTGGTTCACCTATCAATAAATATACCATCCGTACTATTGGAGTGTTGCCTGCATTTATTCCTTTTGAATACATACACACAGTCATACAGAGACATACATACTGTATGTCTCTGTATGACGGTCTGTGTATGTACACAGGATGGCTAAAAGATAGATCCCCATCTGTCGTGCAACTTCAACAATGCTTTGAAAGCTGGGGCTCTACCGATTCCCCATGCTTAGCATGGAGCAGTATTTGTGTGTTTGACTGTAAGCATGTGTTTGTATGGAGTATGTCTGTATGATTGAAGCGGTGTGTAGTGTTTGCATTTGAATGTGTAGTGTTGGTTTTTGAACGTAGGTGTGTGTTTATATATAATTTTGGTGTCTGATACAAAGGTGTGTTTGTATGTAGTGTTGACATTTGAATGCAGGGGTTTGTTTGTATGTAGACATTTAGATACACACAGACACACGGACAGATACATTTACATACACACACACACTGACAGACATAGATACACACACACACACTGACAGACATAGATACACACACTGACAGACATATACACACACACTGACAGACATAGATACACAAACACACTGACAGACATATACACACACTGACAGACATACAGATACACACATACACAATGATAGACATACACAAAGACACACTAACAGACATACACACACACACTGACAGACATTTAGATACACACAGACACACGGACAGATACATTTACATACACACACACACTGACAGACATAGATACACACACTGACAGACTTATACACACACACTGACAGACATAGATACACAAACACACTGACAGACATATACACACACACTGACAGACATACAGATACACACATACACAATGATAGACATACACAAAGACACACTAACAGACATACACACACTGACAGACATTTAGAGACACACGGACAGAGACATATACATACATACACACACACACTGACAGACATGGATACACACACACACACACACTGACAGACATAAATACACACACACCTTGACAGACATATACACACACACACTGACAGACATAGATACACACACTGACAGACATATACACTGACATACATAGATACACACACACACTGACAGACATATACACACACTGACAGACATAGATACACACACACACACTGACAGACATAGATACACACACTGACAGACATATACACACACACTGACAGACATGGATACACACACACTGACAGACATGGATACACACACACACTGACAGACATAGATACACACACACAGTGACAGACATTTAGATACACACACACACTGACAGACATGGATACACACACACACTGACAGACATTTAGATACACACACACACTGACAGACATGGATACACACACACACTGACAGACATTTAGATACACACACACACTGACAGACATGGATACACACACACACACTGACAGACATTTAGATACACACAGACACTGACAGACATGGATACACACACAGACACACTGACCAACAGGTTCAGGAGGGTGGCTTACCTGGGATCCAAAGTGCTGCCTGAGGTAGTTGGGAGTTGGAGGAGCTGGTCCTGCCCAGCCCCCCTCCTCTCTGCCTTCTGCTGCTCTAGTCTTCTTGGGAGGACTTCCTCCCATGCTGACAAAAAAGGGACCGGTGGTAGCTCCTCCCCTGCTGGGCACCAGTCGCTCTGTGTGCTACAGAGGAAGCAGGGATATGACGTTCATATCCCCGCCCCCTCCACACAGTCCGCGGCACTGAAGGTTGGCGCTCGGCCATGCTACGAGAAGTGACTGGCAGGAGAGGGGCGCTGTGCGCTTCCCTCCTGCCGGTCACCCGGACATTTGCGCCCCCGGGCTGGTGTGCCCTAAAGCGGCCGCCTGTGCCGCCTTATGGACGCGCCGCCCTGGGCGGCACTTTCAAGGGGGCGGCAAAAAAACGTCACCCCAAATGCCCAGGCTAATGCCTTGTTAGCCTCCTTTTATGGAGGCCCAAGAGCTGCTCACCCTTATGGCCCCCCGGAGCAGGCAGGTAGTGATGCCGGGAGCCGGAATATGACATCACTCCGGCTCCAGGCATCACTCTGCGGTGCACGAGGGAGTTGAGCAGGGAGATCACAGCTCCCTTCGCTGACAGCTTAGCGTGGCCGTCCGGCAGCCTGCCAACACATCCGTCTGCCTTCCTGCCCAGTAGCCTCACTGGACCCTAGGTAAAAAATCCACCCAGCTATTCCAAAAGTAGGGAAGCTGGGTGAATTTAAGTTTTAAAAATAATAAAAATTGTGAGTGTTGGGGGAAAATGTGTGATTTTTTTGTCAGTGAGTTTGTGTCTGTCAGTGAATGTGTGTGTGCATATCTGTGAGTGTGTCTGTGAGTGCGGTGTCTGTCAGTGAACGTGTGTGTCCAGTGAATGTGTGTGTCTGAGTGATTATGCGTCTGTCAGTAAGTGTGCACGTTTATCAGTGCTTATGTGTGTCTGTCAGTGAGTGTCTGAATGATTGTATGTGTCAATTCAGTGAGTGTGTATGTGTGTATGTCAGTGTATCTGAGAGTGTGTGCTGGTCAGTGAGTGTGTGTCTGTCAGTCAAAATGTGTGTTAGTCAACCGGGAGAGGTGTGCCCCAGATCTGTCATGCCTAGGGAAACACCATTTCAAAATACACCACTGGATTTACCCTGTTATCAGGGAATGGAGCCAGGATAGTCCTAGCATCATAACCACTACAGCAGGTTATAGTGTTCATGAT